ACCACGGTGTATTCTGCAAAGGTGCTGACCCACAGGAAGTGGTGGATCTGCTTCCCTTTGCAAGTGAACCGGGTGGTTTTGTCAGGCAGCAGGTTTTGTGGTTCAGAGGTACTATAGGGAGGTGCAAACATTTGTATTTCATTGACTAAAGCACTGATGGGGGGGTGTCAGACTTGTCAGAGAGTAGGTGTAGGTGTAGGGGAATGTGAAGCAAACTCACTGGGATTTCAAGCAATAATTGGATTCAGGATTCAAACAGAAGCTGCATTCCCCACACTGAGGGACGCAAACGGGAATGACTTTGTCACCTGGGAGAACACATATCCCTTGTTAGGTGCCCCTCTGCGGGCAGACCCTGAGGGTGCTACCTGTTGGAGAGCTGAATCCTAGGCATGTGTTTTTGTGTGTGCCAGTTACCTGGTTTCACAGTGGTCACTCCTTCTCCAATGCTTTCCACGATTCCAGCTCCTTCATGGCCTGGGATAACTGGGAATTCTGCATTGGGAAAGCAGCCTTGCAAGAGGTGTTCATCCGTGCGACAGATGCCTGCCGCCACAAGCTGTTTGTAGAGGAAAGTGTTGGTGACCTGGCCTCTGACTTACTCAGTTTGTGGAAGTAATTTTCCCAGGGGTGCTATGGTGCCCCCACAATCAGTGCTGACACTCCATGGCAGCAGGCTATGCCTGGGCTGGGCTTTCCCCTTCTCCTCATGCTGAATGCTCCATGTGGCTTTCCTCCCGACTGAGATGGAGGTGGGACTGGAGAGGAGGCCACAGTGAGGATCACAGGGGTCGGTCCAGCAGAGCACGGGCTGGAGATGCCAATTCCTATGAGACAGCTTAGGCAAGGACTAGTCTGAAACAGAGGCCCTGGCAGATGGTGTCTTTGAGCTAAGGTAGCTCTGGACACTTAAAGCCTACTGGCAGACACAGATCTCTGAGTTATATCCAAGGTATAGCCACAAGAAGAGCAATTCCCACAAGGGTGAAGAAGAAGTAATTGAAATGTGTTTTTACCTTGATCCGGACTTCACCTGCCTTTGGAGGTGCAACCTCCACCTCCTCAATGGAGAGTGGGTGTCCTGCAGCCCAGGCAACAGCAGCTCTGCATCTGATAACCTGGAAGCAACCGAGAGGATTATGCTGCATGGGAACATTTTCCTTTAGCACACACTTGGGGACAGTCATCCTGCAAGCATCTAAACCAGAGGTGGACAAACTTGGTAGTGCTCAGCTTCCCCTGAAGTCAAGTGATACTCAGTAAACACTGGCCTAGTTAGGGGTCTGAGGAAACACCATTTGTGCTTTGTCATGCAAAGAGTATCAGGTATAACTTTGGAAAATGATTGGGGTTTTATGGCTTCAGGGGATTTTTCCTAACATTGTCATATGTTAATGGACAGATTGTGCTCCCATGGCGACTGTGGACCCTACCTAGTGCCAATGCCACAAAGAGCTTTGATGTCAGCCTTGTAAGACACTGGGCTGAAGGTAACTGAGAGGGGTTACGGAACGGTCCCCATCTGGTTGACAACTGGACCGTTTTTCCCTTGCCAAAAGGATGATTTGTGTGTGACGTTGCTCAAACCCTGCTCAACTGATAAACCTAAAGCTGGTTTGACATCAGCAAAATGGAGCTTGCAGATTGAAAGGGTATTGCCATGGACAAGCTGAATGCAGGAGATGAGTGGCTGCAAGATGGAACCACTGAAGAGCTACATTTCCTGCCAAAGCAAGGGCACAGAGTGGGATTGAGCAGGAGGGTGTTTTTCAGAGCAGTACAATTCTGTATTTTCATTCCTGAGCTGGTGGGCTGGACAGAGGAGAAAGGCACTACCTAGTGCAGGTACTGACAGGTGCAGTTGTAGGAAAGCAGAAGCTCATGGAATTCAAAGGGGTTTGGAAGAGCTGGGGGAGTAAGGTGGGAGGAGAGAGGGCATGCAGTAGCAGTGCACAGGCTGAGCCATTTGCAGAGTATTTCCCCAAGAGCAGGGCAGCTCGGAAAGGAAGATGGAAAAGGCATTGTCCTTACTTTTCCCGAAGTGGCCATGTGGTCTTAGCAGAGGCGTTCCCGTTGCTGTATCGGGCTGGAGGGAAGCTGCTGCCTGTCTGGCCGAAGCTCTGTGTTGTAAAGTCCCCTAGCTGTGGAACTGGAGCACTCCTGGCGTGGCACTGTCGCTGGAGAGCAGAGAGCTGTGGTTAATCTGTGTCGGATGCTGGACGAGGACAGAAACTGCTGAGGGGAGGAGTCTGATAGTGGCTGGGAGATGGAGGAGGGCAGAAGTCCTCCAGGGTGGCTTTTATCAGTGACTCTGCCTTCGGGCCATTCCCTACTCCCCCTGCCTGAAAGGCACAGGAAGCTCAGGAAGGTTTTTTTTTTCCCTGCAATTGTTTTCTGGCAGGTGTGGAGGGAGGAGATTTGCAGCACTGCTGGGGCTTCCTGGGAGTCCCCTTGTTGCCAAGGCAGAGCATTTGAGCTGGTGGCCATTCACACCAAGGTATTTGCTAAAGGATTAAAAATTTAAAAAAAAGGTGAAACAAAAGGTAGTGAAAACATGATGTGACGTACAAATACACGTGACCTTCTGGATTGAAGCTCTGGATTGAAACTCTACTGTCTGTGCTGTTGCCGCTGTTTTCACCTGAGTAGTAGGGGAGAATGTGTAAGGAAGGGATTTTTTCCCAAGGACACATTTGTTTCACTGATATGGAACCAGGTCCGTGAGTGGGTTCCGTCACCCCAGGCTCTCTGGGCTCCCACAGAGCTGTTTTCTGCTGAGGCACTGGACAAGGTGATTCATAGGGAGGATTGGATCAATAAGAGCTTGTTGGAGAACCTGGCCAAGATGAGCACCCTGAGGGTGACATAACCCCCATGGTTAGAAAGGAATCCTCCTCTGTGCCTTGAAAGGGTGCATTTGTACACCTAGGGAATGGGACAATTTCCTAGAAGACTACCACTAATGAAATAAAAATCCTTCTTGGATCAGGAAATGTTTAGAATGCTGTAATGAGTGGAACTTAACTCTTAGCTGTTGAACAAGATTATAGATATATTGATTTTATTTTTTTTTAAATCAAAAGATTCCTGTTGACGTTAGGATGCAAAAAAGATTAGACATGATCTTAAAAAAATGCAGCATTCATGAATTAGGAAGGCATTACTCTGTAGAGTCATGCTTAGGACACCCTGCTCTACAATTGATTCTGATGTCCTCCATAGAATCACAGAATCTCAGAATGCTTTGGATTGGAAGGGACCTTAAAGATCAGCTAGTTTCAACCTCTTTGCCACAGGCAGGAACACCTTTCACTAGACCAGATTGCTCAGAGCTCCATCCAACTGCCCTTGAACACTTCCAGGTACAGGGCATCCACAACTTCTCTACAACCTGTTCCAGTGTCTGACCACTGGAATATAATAAAAGAATTTCTCACTAAAATCTAATCTAAACTACTCTTTTTCATACCTGTTTTCCTATCAGTTCAACCAACAGATTTGGTGGAGCAAAGATATGGTTCTTCTCCAAAACTTTCATGTGTTTTCATGTGTTTTGCAATCCTCATTTCACTCTGAAAGTGGACCAATTTAACTGGTTAGCCAAAACCTAAAAATACTCTTTAGGAGGTTCAGGCAGGCCCACTTTACACAGCTTTTGGGCCATAGTTTGGTTGGCTTTGATTGCCAATCCATTTTCTACATTGCACCAGAGTTGGAAAGCAATTCCAGGTGACAAATGCTCTATGGCTGATATCCTGTGTGATTGGAAGTGTTCAAA